CCCCAAAACCCCAAAACCCCAAAACCCCAAAACCCCTAAGAATTGTTTCAAATTGAAATATTATAAGATGGAGAGTAAAGCTCAGACAAAAGAGAGACCTAAATCAACTAACCAAAGGAATCCTTCTAATTTGATAAAGCTATTCAATATAAAGGGGATATAACCAAGGCTAAAGAGGACTGAGAAAATAGTAAGGATGGATCAAAATTATCCAAGTCTTCCATGGTTTCCCTCTTAACAAAGGGACTGCAAGATAAATTCTTAAATAAACTTGAAGAACTTGATAAAGAAGAAAAGATAAGGATGAATAATGGAGTATCCCTCAATGCTAAAACTCCGAGTGAGGAAGGTAGGATACTTCATAGCTAAAGTTTGTATAGATGTTAAATAGAATTTTGATCATGAATCCAGCCCACAGAACTTGAGAAGATCTGACTCATCTCTCTGTTTATTTCAACCAGTTTGATTTACTCAGCAAAATTCTTGAGCATAATAATAGTGCAGAGATGAGACTGAGAATGTATAGAAGTTTGAAATTTAAACAAGCTAAGCAAGGCGAACACGTTTTTAAGTTCGGTATGCTAATAATTTAACCCAAATAGGGGATTTTGGAGATTTATACTACATTTTGATAAAAGGAGCGGTCGATGTTATCGTCCCGATTCCTGAAGAACATATGTTTACAAAATATCAACTTCTTAGGCATTGGTAAATTTATGAAACATACTGTCTAGAATTATTAATAAAGACGATATCTATCTTCATGAAACAGATCCTGAGAAGCAAAATCCATTACTAGAGCATATCCATAAAATACTGAATAATGAAAAGAAGATGGATGCTCTTTTGAAAAAGTCTGAAGAGGAAATATTGAGCCAGAGAGAGAAATATGTTATCAAAACGATGACTAAAGTCCACAACTATGTTCCAGGAGAAGGGTTTGGAGAGCTTGCACTTACTAATTCTAAACCAAGAGCTGCTTCCATTCTTGCAACGGAGGATAGCCAATTCGCAGTTCTGTCAAAGAGAGATTTTGAGATCATCATAGGCGAAGCTGTCAAGAAAGATTTTGATAAGAAGACTACCGTCCTTAGAAATATTCCTGCTTTCACTCATTTAACCAGGAATTCTCTTAAATAAGCTAACATTTTACATGAGTGAACATTCTATCAGCAAGGACTGATTTCTTTTTAAAGAGAATGAGGAGATCCAGGGCTTATATCTGATAAAATCAGGAGACTTTGAAATCTCTCAGAAGTTTAGGAAGGAATTGAAGGAAAAATATACTGGGCATGCATTCCCTGTTAAGGTCAAGAGGAATATCAAGTGATGCCTTGCTGGAAATAATGAAGCATTAGGCCTCGAGTACATAATTGCTGGGGCTGAGAACCACACCTTTTCGTGTTATTGAGTTTCTACACAAGGGACTTACTACTTCCTGGATAGAAAGGTGAGTTTTAATATAAACTTCACCAAGTTTTGAAATTAATGGAGTAACTTAGAATTATCAGATATAATTTTGCAAATATAGAAAGTTTCAGAATGGTTAAAGAACAGAATGATTAAAGAAAAATTTATTGAAATGTATAATGATCAGCAAAAATTATTCTCTGAGAGACTTTCCACTAACACTAAGCTTCTTGATCTTGAGATTAGCATAATTCAGGATGAGATTATCAAATCTAATGCTAGAAAGGAGGACCAACAAGCCAGCTTCCAGGCTGAGCAGGGCTCTACTAAAGAATTAAAAGTTAGGCTGCTAAACCACCTTTTAAAACAGAATAATCTGGGATATAAATCTCAGACGAATGAATTAGGACCTACAGAGAATGAGTTAAAACTTGCAGATGGCTACTACAAAGTTCTTAATAATCCAGATAAAATAATTAAGGAGTACAATCAAGCGAATAAATATGAAAATAACATACGAATCTCAGCTAAGAAGATGAGGTAGTTTCATACTCTCATATATAGAAGAACAAAATCAGCTAGGCCTGGTTCTCGACCTAAAACTTCCCAAATATCAAACCCAAAAATCAAAGAAAGACCTCGAAAAGAGTACATCGACGTATGTGAGCCTATCCAGGAGTATAAAGCAGGGTTACTAAATACATCCAAGAATAGATCGACAGCAAACTTTAAGCTAATCGAAAAAGTGTACATGACTACACAGGGGGAAGAAATAGAAAATATTACTGATGCAAACAAAACATTAATTGCCCATTTTAAGAAGACCAAGCTGAGAAATACCAAGAGAATTCAGTCGGCAGTTAGCATTAGAAGTAAGTTGTTTCAATTTGGTTGCATTTAATGGTTACTCAAGGGAATGTCAGATTTCAAAGCTCTAAAACAACATTTATGTCAACCGAAAAGGAAGGAGTAAAACAATCAAAATATGAAACTACTGTAGAAAATCTGGAAACTATTTCTGGGTCTGAGAAATCAGTCAAGTACAACAAGAACTCTTCTTTAAGCAACTTGAGAGAGAATGTGGTAAAATATATGAATAAGGTTAACTTAAATGTGAAAATCCAAAACTATTCACCTCATAAGCATGAATCTAAAAGCTTAGCTAAAAGAAGTCAGATAAAGCTGATAGACGTACCAACCCCCAGAAATGCTGTACAGGCTGCTAATAATCTGATAAATACAATTGATTATCTCGAGAAGCACCAGCCTGTAACTCAAAAGCCAAAATTTCTTGTAAAGAATAGTCGGAATCGGGGATTTAGTAATGTACAAAATAAAAATGCAAAAACAGATCAATTAATCTTAAGAAGTCCGAATATTATTTTCGACAAAAGTTCTCTCAATCCATTGCAACCATCTCCTATAAAGAACCCCGAGAAAGGTACTAATGATGAGTTTGAAGAGCTCGAGACGAAAATGTTTATGACTCTTGGTCCAAAGGCTTATGAAGGACCTGTAAAGTCAGCACAAAGTGCTACTTCTCTCCCTAGAAAGATTATTACTAAGAAGAACAGACTTGCAAGCATCCATCCCTTATATAGGAACCAATGGAAGAAGTACAAAAAGAGAAGGCATAAGGCACTCAATTATGAAGATACTAAATCAGAGCAAAAGAAGAAGGTTTTGAAAATCTCAAAAAATAAATAATTTTCAATAATTCAAGAGTAGATTGGGGTTTTGGGGTTTTGGGGTTTTGGGGTTTTGGGG